CCCACTAACTCCCCTTGCTACACCAATTCTCCCATTTACTGTCCATCCAAATCTATCTTCCCGCCCCATGTTGCTTACCACCTCGCGGATATACGGCCCCCAGGATAGGCTTGCGGTTACATGCACAGATATGCAATGTACGTAATAACCGAGGATCTGCAATGTGATGAAAAGGACTGAATGGACAATACGGTGCGAGTAGAATCTCAACAAGCAATGTGCATTCTCATACATACAAAAGGTGCTGAATAGCGCAAGGAAGACTTAAATACAAAGACTGACCTGACCAGGACTGACCTCATCCACGTAGTACAAAGCAGCGAAGCAAAATGCTAGAATGCTAATAACTAGCCCAATCAATGTTTGAACTCAGACCAAACATACATCGTATCCCTCACCAGGTGTGAAGGAGCCTGGCGCTGTACACAGGAAGAAAGCGCCAGGTTCAGACATACACAAACGAAGAGGAAGGAATCAGACGAAAGGAGGGAGAGAGATGGGAATGTCGTCAACACCAAGTCTTTGTCACCAATCCCAAATAATCCCTCGCTGCCATGTCTGAAGTCCCAAAAGTCGAGTCTGGATCCGATGTCACCAAGCTCTGTCTCTCTTCTCTCGTAGTCTGCAGATGCAGTGAAGTCAGATGTTGAGAGGGGGAGAAGCAGATGGTGGACTGAGAAGAGGAAGAAGAAGAACTCTCTCTCACTGTTACGAGCCAGGTACTGACCTGTGGTATTGGCGCTGTGCTGCAGGTACCTCGAAGACGAAGCTGGAGCAACGACGCTGCAGGTAAGTGCCTCTGGCCTCCGCCCAATCTCTCTCTCTCTCTCTCTAGTACTACCTAGCTATGGCACCCAGCGCTGGAGACTACAGCTACCTACTGCGCCCAGCGCTGAAGACTACAAGCTAACGCTACTACTACTCAGCAGCGCTCCCTCCAGAGTGCTGCTCCCGAATCCTGAAGACTACAACTGCCTCTCTGCCTGGTTCGGTGCCTGAGTTTCAGGGCCTGTCGTTCTGATGAACGACCGAAAATGGCCCTTCGTTTCAGGCTAAAAAGGCTGTTGCCATTTTTAGTCTGAATTGACACAGGGATAGGCCCTGGAATTCAGGCTTTCGGGCTGAACCGACATGGGGCCTGTAAGCCCTGGATTTCAGGCTTTCGGCCTGAAATTCAGGCTTTCGGCCTGAAGTTCAGGATTTCGGCCTGAAGGACGCAGGCCTGGAAAATGGCCTGCGTGTGCACGCGCAGCACGTAACACTTGCAGCAGCTCTCTCCCGCCGCTCCACCCTTTCTTCGACACCACCCGACGGTCGTCTTACCTTCGAGTTCTCCGTCGGCCACCACCCTGTCTCTTGATAGAACCAACGGACATAGCCAACCCTTCCCCCACCTTACAGAGTCACCCTTTTTTTCTTCTTTCCAGGGGTGGCTAATCGTCCCCTATCACCGGTATTACCAAATATGCCGACTGACCACGCCTGCTTTGTGAAGAACTCATACCGCTTGTGCTTAGATCGTCACCTTTCTGAATCGATACTTCCAGAAAAAGCAAAAATAAAAAATCTCGGATCTACAAATACCCAACCCGAACTGATCGGCTGCTTCCGCATTCTGGGCCCACCCAAAAATTTGTAAGCGGAGAGTAAACAAAAAAACAGACCGTGTACCTTTGGTAGACAGGTTTTTTTAATTCAAAGTGCCGACTTGGAAAATGCTAAAAATTGTTAAAAGAAAATTAAAAAGATGCTAAAAAAGCCAAAAAAAACCATCTGAATACTGTGTGCCTCTTATGTGCCTATCTCAGGTACTGGTCCAGGTCGGGGTAAAAGTAGAGGAGCAAAGCTCCCCACTTACCCCCGGGCACTCTAGCAAAACGAGCTAGAGACCCGAGAGAGAGAGAGAGAGAGAGAGAGAGAGAGAGAGAGAGAGAGAGAGAGAGAGAGAGAGAGAGAGAGACAGACAGACAGACAGACAGACAGACAGA